GCGGGTGCCCCGCTCGGCGGTGTGCGCGGCCGGCATCCTCCTCTCGCTCTACGCCTGGCACCTGGAGCGCGAGAAAGGCCGCGACGCCCGCTACCAGGCGCTGTGCGACCTCGGCGAGCGCGTCCGCTGCTCCGCCGCCATCGCCTCCAGGTGAGCCGGGGGCCGGGGGGCGCCGCACCCACCCCGCCCGCGCCAGTGGTCAACCCTGGTGCGACCCGTCGTAGCCAAAGGGCTCAAAACGCTCGCTAATCTGAGAGGCGACAGCCCCCGCATCGCTCTCGGCTGACTTTTCGGCTGGCGGGCAGCGCTTCCTTAATGCCGCCCGGACTCCTAACGTAAGAAGTGCCTCCGCTGGCATGACCCATTCTCGCCCGCCGCTGGCGACTTGCAGTGGGCGATCGGAAAGTAAACGCGAGAAGTTGAGTCGGGGCTCTTTGCGTATTTACGCGGTGGTTTGGCGGGTGTTTTTAGTGAGCGCGATCGTTTCGAGCTTCCCCGTTCGATCGTTTCGTGTTTAAGACGTGCGCGTAGGTCAGGAGGGCCTCGGGAGATGGTCGGGGCCAGCGCCCTGTGTGGAGCGGGAAAGATAACGGGGGTGAGGTGACCCCAGCGCGGTGACCGTCCGCTCTGCTCATGAAGATGTCCAGGGTCGGTGATTGCACCACCTCTGCGGGGAGCTTATTGCACAGTCTGGACACCCTCACTGTGAAGGAGTTTTTCTAGTGTTGAGCCTGAATCAATCGTCTAGGAGATTGTGGCCATTACTCCTGGGTTTCCCCTCGGGCGCCCTGGTGAACAGTTGCTCACCGAGCCCTTGATGTCCTCCCCTACTGCAGCGGTAAGCTGCTACCAGGTCCCCGCTCGGCCCTCTTTTCTTCAGGCTGAAGAGTCGCAGGTCCCTCGGCCTTTCTGTGTGTGACTTGCCGTGTAGGACTCTGATCTGGACTCTCTCAAGCTTGACCACGTCCTTGTTAAATGATGGTGTGCGTGCCTCGTCGGGAGAAGCTAGGGTCTACAGACGCCTCCAAATGTGAAGATCTTGGCTGCACAATTGATGGCGATTGGGGTTGCTCTCGGCCTCTCCCTTTAGCTTGCTCCTGTGGCCTTTTGGCTTGGGGCAAGCAAGACTGTGAACCCTAAGTCCTCCAGGCTCGGGGCATGCATGTAGGAGGCCTGCCATGGATTTGGGGGTATCTGAAGCTCCAGGCTGATGAGTTTGGGAGGGAGGACACTTGCCAGAGGTAGGACTGCTCAGACTGGATCAGTTGAGCTCTGCTTAGTTGAGAATTTGGAAATGATTTGGTGTGACGCACAAAATTTCAACTTCCGCTCCCCTCCCAAAACAGTGCCTTGAGACGAAATAGATTTGCATGCTGCCGCCTCTTCTAAATCTCTGTCCTCTTACTGTCCATTATTGCAGCAACTGCTTTGGAGCAGTCTCGTGCTGTATGGTGCATTGCGGGAAACTGGTCAAGTCCACCTTGTGTGTTGTTAGCCTGACCGCCGTCGGCTGACAGCTACGTTCCTGAACCTATGTGACGTAGAGTTCTGCCTCCCTTGTTTTTATACTGCTGGTATTCTGACTTCGCTGCTTGTTATTCAGCACTTACACAGAAACCATCCACTACAGTAAGGCATATAGGTTTCTTTTTAACAGAGCATCCTAAAGCAGACTAGTGTTTTAGCCTGAGGACACAAGAATTGGCTTAGCATGGTTTGTTAGGTATCCATCTAACACTTTTTGAAAAGAAGAATGGAACTGGTGGGGTTTGGTCCTTCACATGTATAAAGCAAGCTGTCCAGATGGCATTCGTATTGAAAAGTTATTTCTTGTTGCTTTTTGGGCACAATCTGATTTGTTACTTTGGGCAAATAATGTTGAATGTAATTTAGAGCGTGCACAAAGTGTTCAGATAGGGATTTTAAGTATTAAAATGTTCAACCCTCTTATTGTCGTATAAGGCAATAATTATAGGAAAACAGTCTGGTAATACGTCAGGGATGCATGGGACATGTTAACTTCTTTCTTCAAATGCAGTCTAACTGCTTAACATTGAGCTTACTCTCATTAAAGCTAAAATTAGTTCTGTTGTGACTGAAACTAACGTTGTATCATATCTGTACATACACACATCAACGAAATATGTGAAAGGCAGTTCCTATTGGGGCTGGGTTGGGACCCCATCTTTTGCTTTTCTGTTGATTATCAGATATTGTTTAGCTTATGGTGAGACTTGAGAATCTTTTTTTTCTCCCTTTCAGATGCAACTTGAAATCAGATGTCTGAATCTAGAGGGGGAAGACTTAGATACGATGATCAAAGCATGCAATTAAAACTACATCAAGGCTACCTGTGTTATGTCACTGAAGTATAATTAACAAAGCTGTAGGACAGTAATCAGACATTTGATCTTGGGTATTTTGCTTGTGTAAGTGGGGCTTTCAGCATAACTAGTTTATCCAAACGAGATCAGACTGGCATGGACCATGTCTTTTTTTTTTATTTGCCTTTTGTAGCATGCAGCACAGTCCTAATGCAAGGGCAGAGATTCTCAACTGGGGTGCCTTGATCCTTTAAAGTATGCCACACAGTGTTAACACTGTTAGGTGTGCAAACATAATTCATAAGATAAACTTGGGGATATCAAATAGGAATCTGTAGTGACCTGTTGTCTTTCTGAGTTCTTTGCAACATGACTTTGTCTGTAATCAAAAAAACTTGTAAAAACTAAAAGCCAACATTTTCTGCAGGATGTCTCAAGTCTAACAAGGGGTGCCTTAAATCTAATGAGGGGTGCCTTGAGTTTAAAAGGTTGAGAAACACTGTCCTGGGGCCTTTAGAACATGCATTAACTATTTCCTTGTTGTGTTAGCAGTACTCGCATCTACCCTGCTTTTACCTCTAACATGTTATAGGGTATTCTTGGTGATTCAGTTATTGTGCCTTGAGTGCAAGGCTTGGATCTGATATTATGGGGCTTCTTTGAGTTAAGGATTGCCTGCAGATGCAGGGACTGAACTTGATAGCCCAGGAGGTCCCTTCCAATCCTGTATTCCCATGTCAGTTGATTTTTTTTTTCTTTCTCTTTCTTTTTTTGTTTAAAGGAAGGTTAGCAAGAGCACTAGCACCTAATGTGTTCCTGCATCTGAAGAATTAAGGAAATAGCCAACACTTTCAGTTGACGGTGACATCAGTTGTTTTAATAACTTAATTATTCATGAGCGTAAATAGCCAGTGAACTTTTTATTTATGAAGAAATCTGTTGAAGAGTTTAGGAACTGCTGTTACTAATCAAACTAGAAAAGGTTTATCCCAGAAGAGTTGTAGATGTTCCATAAATAAGCTTGCAAACAATATCACTTTGTGTCCCTCTGATATTTAGGAGAGAAACCTTGCATCCTCTTGCACAGTGCAGTGCACAGCTTTTAGAACTTTGGCAGTGACTTTCGGGTGGTACCGGGTTCATTTTAAGTATATTTTGGAATGAAGCAGGTTCCTGAGTGGCTATGAAGTGTAAGTAGCCACTTCCCCTGGCATGTCGGATGTGTAGGTAGTAGCCCTGAGACAGACTTTTGGGGGTTAGTGTGAATGGCCATGAGGGGTGATTTTGTTGTAGAACTTGAGCAATATTTGCACCTTTCATCAAGCTACGTATATGAGGATGGTTTGGAAACAGTCAATATTGATCGAGCTTGGCACCTTCAATTGACTTATCAGAGAAGTCCTAGAATACAGGTAAGTCCAGTAGCTTTTAAGAATTGACATTAATTTAGGGGTGTAGCTCTCCAGATAAGCTGTATTAGGAATTTGCTATTCAAAAGTTATTAAATAAGTCAAGTTATGGGTTTTCCCATCCCCTTAGCCTTTGTAACCCACTCTAAAGCTACTGTTCTGAAAAACTGTGGCCTGAAAAAGGAAGGTACTTCAACTTAAGTTGGCAGTTTTGCTAAATAAGCTGCCAGATAATTCTACTTGCATTAAGGACAAGTTCATGGAGCTCTGACTAGATTTGTTGAGCATGGCTATGTAACTTGTAACTCTTCTTTCTGTCCTGGTAGCTCTTCTCTAGTTTTTGTTAGTACTGTTAATGTGACCTAAGGCTTGTCTGAATATCAAAATTATACTACTTGACTGTGTACCATATCTATTCTGATATAGATTATCCCTGCGCAGCACAGGAATAAGGTGTACTTGTATAACTGCATTCACAAGAGAACTGTTTATTAGTACAAATATTTTGATTAAAAAAAACCAAATGCCCTGCAAATTCCCATGCACCTTGCACTTAAAAATCAAGTTCATAAGAACCTGTTATCTGCACAAATGGGACATGGATCCAAGCTGCTTTGACCTCACGCTTAACCTGATGTTTATATTGCAGGTTTCCATTCAGTTCTGTTATGGGGCAGTTGCTGTAAACTTGATGTCTGTCAAGTTTTGCTTGATTCCAGGTTAAGAACATTTTATAGCAGTTTTCTTTGACTTTAATGGTAAGTTCACTGACACACCAGCCCTTTACTTATTGCTGTAGTTGCAAGAGAATAACCAAATACTTCTAACCCTGACTGCTGCATCTGTTGTTGATTGATGTAAGGTAAGAAACAAATAGTGTCAGTTCTAGCTTGAAAGCTGAAAAGCTTGTCTAGCTACTTCTTTTGGTCTACTACATGCAGATCAGGCTTGTTTAGCATTTTAAAGCTTTGCAGTGGCTTTTGACTGGTACTTGCTTGTCAGTAGTGAAACTTTAATATGAATTATTTTTCAGTTGATTTCCTGCGACTTCAGTGAGATGGAGTGCAAGTTTAGTATTTTTGTTGAGCATCTTTGATTCAGTGAAGCAAAAATGAAGTTTCGTTGTTAGATCTTTCTTGAAGGACAGTAGTGTAGGGAGGTCGGATGTTATTTAGCAGTACCTAGAATATTTAAACTGCTGAGGTAGCTGTGGCATGGAAATGGGTCTGGTTGTAAATGTTTTGGAGGGGTTTAATTTGGTTGCTGTAGTTTCTTTCAAGCTGCAGACCTATAGACTTGTTTTTCTGAGTAGTCAGAGAGCAAGAATACAAAGATAATTTTGCAGTTAGTCTGTAGCATTGTCTGTGGCTTGCTTTCTGAAGAAAGTTGTTTTGAAAATCGCTGGTAGTAATAGCTG